TTTTAGTTCATGAGATTTGGAGTAGGTGTCAGTTTGAGATTTTTGGTAATTAATTGGTGATTGAAATTTTTTAATTTGCTTTTCAATTTGGTCCCTAACCAGTCACTTGTTAATTACCAAGTCATTTTTTCGCTAAGTCAACTAATGGTCAAATAATACTGAAGGACCGTTTAGAACAACTTTTCAAATTTTAGGGACCAAAAGTGTTTATTTTAAAACTTTAAGGACCAAATTGACACCTACCTCAAATCTCAAGGACCAAAAGTGTTCATTTTGAAATTTGAATAACCAAATTGACACCTACCCAAACTGACCAAAAATGTATTTTTCCTTTTTTTTAATCATTATTGACTTATAAAATGCTTAATAAATATTAAAAAGTAAATATAATATAAAATTTTTAATTTTTAATTCATAAACTTTACTTTTTTTTTTTATATATATTTCAATTTTGGAAACATACAAGAGATAGCTATCAAACATGTTTCTATTTTTTTTCAATTAAAAAAACAAGAACAAGAAACAATCAACGAATACAATTCTATTTTTATTTATTAAAAATGAGAAACAAGGAATAAAGAAATTACCAAACGGGTTCTATAACAACAGATGACCTAGAAACCTTACTCAAAAGGTCATCTAATATAATATGAGTTTGGGAAACCCTAAGATACCCATGACTTAATTCATTCGATATAAAGCTCAAATTGCAGCAGATGGATTCACGCCATCCTTGGCGTTGTCTTCATGTATTAAAACATTTCTCTATCCTCTCAATTCTCATAAATACATCCAACACAACCTGCACACTAAATTCCCAGAAAATACTTTACTTTTTTTTTTCTTCTAAATCTTCTCATCTATAAAATTACAACAAAACTTCCCTCTATGGCCCTTTATCACTTTAAATACAAAGTGGGCTGTTCATATAATTTTAATTAAGATATCACAAGGCAATGAAATTTGGAAGTATACTTGTTAAATATCGTTTAATCCTAGTTTAGACGACAGATCAATAAAATAATGAAAATTAAAAGAAAAGTTGAGCTGCTAATTGACGAATTTTCTTCTCTAATCTTGGGATCACAGCTAATTCAGAGAGTAGAATAAGATGATTGCAATATTGGGTCAAAGTTCACATGCACATCTTAGTGGGGCCAATTATGACTTCATTAAATTTTTATTTTTGCTCTTTATTTCACAAGATGTTAGGTTGCCAAGTGTTTTTTTTAATTACATAATCTAATGGGAAATTCCAACAGGAAAGGAAAAAAAAAAGTACTTTGGGGGTCGGGGGACCTTTTTGCAAGATAGGAGACTTGTGAAAGGTTTCTAAGGTTGAGTTAGAGAAGATCTACTGATATTAATAATGATAAACTTGTAATATTGAACTTTTTTTGCACTTAAGCAACAGCCTACAAACCTATTATCGATATATTTTTGAAAAAATGATTCTAATTGTTAGTTAATGACCAATTTAAACATACCTCAACTGATTAAAACATATATATACCGTGCTATGCTAGGCAAGGCATTAAGGGAAAAAAAAAGTGAAACCAAGAAAGATCATGTGAAGGAAATAATTGAGCATGAACCAAAAGACAACCTGAACATAGACCAATTAATAGTTAAGACATATATCATCGACCAAAAAGTCAGAAGTTCAAATCTCCACCCTACGTATGTATGGTTGAACTAAAAACAAGATATAAATATAATATTTGCCAGAAAGAATGTCTTGATAATAGAACAAAAGTTCAACTATTTACATTACATGTGTAGCTCTAGCTCCCAGTAAAGGACTACTAGTTCTAATCTATAAGAAGAAGAAGCCATGATTCAGGCTAGAAACATTTATTGGCAGAGTTCACTATGGACAAGAGGTAAACCTAAGCTATTCAACAAATATTCCCATATTTACTACCCTAAACAAGAAAGAAGCATTTAATTGCAAGATCAAGTACAGAAGGGTTTCAGTCCATACCTCATAAAACTCCTTTGTGCTGAAATTGAAGGTTGGAATTACATTCCAATATGGTCATACTCATAGGGGTACAAATAAAACTATAAAATCTAAATACAATATGAGCAGAACTAAACATTTTAAAGATCAAGGAGAATGAAAAGTAGGCTCATATCTGCTATCCTATTGCTCCGCCCTGATGGCAGCTCACTCTCACTGACTTCCTAACCTATGGTCAATAAAACCTCATTTTCTATTTGTGAACAAGATCAGCATATTCAGTCCTGCTAAACAAAACATGTACATCACTACTCCATCTCCCATGTATCTTAGTTTGAAAAGCTTCAGATTTCCTATGCAATCTTTTAAGCCAAAAGAGGGCTTCTTTTCTAACTACACTTCTAATTCATTTATTTTATAGATTATTCACTATTATCCTTGCATCTTATTTCCTTAGGTCGTGTTTCTTATCAAATCTTGCATATACTTAAGTCTAAATTTCATAGTAAAATGTAGAGGAATACTATCGATTGCTTCAACGTATATATTACAGAAACTATCCTACAAGAAGCAAATTGAACCTATCCTGCATGGATTCAGATGCTATTTTAGAAGAGAAGCCACCAAGATTTTCCATCAAACCTTTCCATCGCCCAATGACGTCACACAAAAATGGTTTTAGAACATGGTCCGATCACTTCACATCTGTGTAAGAGTAACTAAGAAGTTTTCATCTTCAAGTTCTTCCAAGCCACTACCAGTCTACGAATCCAAGTGCTGCAAGAAGCATAACGTAATTTAATCATGTAATATGTTTTGAAGTCACTAGGATTCACAACTCATCGTAACAAACAAACTACTAGAAAAAATATAAAATGTAAACCATTTACTCGCAAAGTAATAAACTATAATTCTTAACCCTTCTTTATGTCTATGGCGACAGTTTTTAACTAGACACTCCAATCTTGGCAGCTTAATTTTAGAAAACTATTCAATGATAAACAAGTTGGGTGGTAAGCAGCTTTAACGAGCATATTTCGTGACGTGAACATGAACCCAAGCCCATGGATTCAAGAGACTCAGGAATTTTCTCAAGAAACTTTCGTTGATTTATGAAAAATGCTTGGTGATAACTCGTCATTCAATACACTTGACTAATGAGGGCATTTTAGGAACAGTACAAGTAAACATAAGCATCCTAGCAACTTCAAGAATGGGATAGTCACAAACTACCTACCTCTGATAATGTTTATTATCCTAGAAGCTCTCAAACATCACTTTGTACCATAGACAAGGGATAAGAGATTTCAAATTCACGAGGATAGGAGGATTAAAGATACTCAGACAATTGACATACTTTGCATTATGAACAAAAAGGATCTTTATTAAATAATTAAAGGTTAAAGCTTTTTCAAGTATAAAAAATTTGGTTGATCAAAATGACAATGTGGAAACGTAACCCTCCATGATTAATAATACTAGGAATAGAGAAGCCAATAGGTCCATCATTGTATAACCTTGTACGATTGTTAGTATAGGAATGTAGGGACCTGACCACTCCTTAACACTGCCAACCTTCTTCCCCGAACTCAAATCCTGAAATTCAGAGGTATGTGAGTAAAACTAAAAAACATGCTTCTTCATTTCAGTAAACTTTCTAATGGATAATGTAATACAGCTCAAAATATTATTAAGAACTAACTCAATAAATAGAGAAATAGATCCTACCCCAACTGCTTAGGTAAGGAGCAATCAGCTATTCACACATGACACAATCATAATCTCTGAATAAATTTTTTACGGTTAAATTAGGTTTGGGTTGGTGCCTATGGTTTCAAAAGTTTCAATTTGGTCCCTATGATTTAAAAGTTTCAATTTGGTCTTTGTGATCTAGTTAAATCTCACACATCATCCCTGAAAAGTTTCAATTTGGTCTTTGTGATTTAGTTAAATCTCACACATCATCCCTAATCTGTTTTATGCACTCGAAAACCCACTTATTTTTTCCTGTTTCTTACTCAACCCTAAACGTTAATACAATCGACCAACACAACTGAAAAACATCAATCCCTTACCACGTAAATAAATATGTCACATATTTAATATGATACATTGGTAATAATATAGACGATTTGTGAGGTATGACTGAACCGTAGGGACAAAATTGAAACTTTTAAACCCATAAGAACCAAATTGAAACTAAGACCAAACTATATAGACCAAATTAAAATTTTAAAAAACATAGGGATCAAATAGAACTACATCCAAACTATAGGGGCCAAATTTGTAATTTAACCATTTTTAATTATTTAAAAAACAACATATGATTGGCCCACTAGAGCTCATTGACGAATTTCCATATTCAGTTCTATTACTGAGAGCGTTGAGAAGGCTACCTTTCTGCAGAATGAGGTAGTAGTGGTAGTTGAAACTTTCTGAGAAGGTTGGACCAAAGCAGCAGCTTGTCCAATGAGTTTTTGAGGTAAATCCATCAACCCTTTAGTGAACAAGTTGCTCTTGATGTCTGTCATACTATTTCTTCTGCTGGAGTAAGTGCTATCTGATGTGCGCTAATTTTTCAATCTTGAGGACCCCAGCTGGTTTCCAATCGGTTGGTTTGCCATCGATTTCTCAACACATTTCCTTACTGTGGCTGGTTTTCTTGAAAAGTTGTAATATGCACACCATATTTCCCCTTTCTGTGGCAGTTTTTTAGTTTCACATTGAAAAGAGGTTCAAGAAACTAAGCTGAGTCATCCATGGTTACCAAAGCTGAGGAAGTCCCCAACATTAGTTTTCTTCCATTCGTCTCTGCTAACTTCAGCCAATACTTCTCTAGTGTTGGGTAGAGGATTCCCAGCTGAGATCTCGTAAAATAACGTTAAAAGTAGTGGTATTTCACTTTCGCCTTTCGGCTCCCACTTATCCTACACCTCTCAAGTCATTTCACAAAGTCGGACTAGAGTCAAGCTCAACAGGGTCTTCTTTCCCCGCTGATTATGCCAAGCCCGTTCCCTTGGCTCTACCAAACCTCATCTAGGTTTCTATTAGGCCAAGAAAAAAATTGAAGACTTTTTTTCCCAATTATTTTTTTGTACCTTCCATTATCATTTGAGCATTCCCGTTCAGTATTCACACAAATATCAAGTTGTTACCACAGCAGTTAAAAAGACTGTAGAAAGCTCCCACAGTATTCCCTTGCCTTAAATCATGAAGGCTCCATTCTACTTCAAATGATCCGGAGGTGTTCTTTAAGTTAGAGAAGGTCTCTTTGTCAGCATCCACATTTCTTTTATTGTCTAATAAAGAAGAAAATTTTTGCCAATGTCAGCAGTCATAGAATTCATTAGCTTAAACATTAGCATGCTATTTTCAGCCTTCCACAACTTCTAGCTTGAATAAGAGTTAGCTGGCTTCAAAGTTCCATAAATGTAGTTGTCCTCACCTTTGCATATATAAACATCATAACAGCTACCAAGAGTGCAAGAAATCTTGGCAACTGAGTTTATAGCTCGTAACAGGGCGGATTGAAGCGCCTATAGGTCCCCACGTTACACAAAAAGATATTTGAATTGAAGAACTTCCGCAGCTTATTCCAAGACCAAGACTTTAGTTGGCTATTTGGCCATGATTGAACCAGAAGCCCAGGGACCCACAGGATGTTGCTCTTGCTCTGGTACCATGTAGATGGAATCAAAGACGAAGATAAAGAACATTAACTAAGTAACCCATTAAGCTAAGCAAGAGATCAATGGGATTGAGACTTCTAAATCATCATAACCAATCACAGTTCAAGAATCAAAATTACAAACATCATCGAGAATGAAACAAACCTCAGTCAAGCTTTAACAGCAATTCCCTGATCTCTCTAATAGCTGAACTTGCAGCATAAAGTGTCATCTTTTTAAGCTGCCAATGGAGAAAATGCAAATAACTAAAGAAGCATATGACTATCAATTACTTAAATTCCAAAGTAAGAACTAGTTGTGAATAAGCCATTTTTCTGTACATCTCAATTTCAACCTATATAAAGTGCATTGATACATCCACTTCTTTTCTCTATCTCATTTCTCATCATGATAATATGTGGATTCATAAAGAATCAAACCGACTCCTGCTCACTAAAGTAGACTTAAAGCAAAGTACGAATCCAATTCAAGGGCCAAGTTATTTCTTAGAATAACTTTGACGTTCGACCTCCAAAAGAAAGAAACACGGGATGGATTATTTTATCGTGCATATGATTGGGAACTAAATACTTGCATGCAAATATCGAAAAACATAACAGAAAAGCCCATTATCAAGTGTATCAGCAGCCTATTATGGCACCAAAATGGATTCTAAAGTGTGCTATGTTAAACTTGAATTTTCCAGAACTGCTATCTCGCCAGAAACTCATTGAACATATAAGATCCCCAGACAGAGGCCCCAACCTCTGAGCATTGATTGAATTCCAGAGTGTCAATATGCCCAAGACCATGTGCTATGGGGAGAAAGAAGAAAATGACAAGGTAGGCACAAGTCACAACTAATGAGAGAAGCACAATTGGAAGTCGTCAATTAGATTCTGTAGCTCTCCCTAAATGTAGAGGTCCGTGTCAATAAAGCTCATATAATTTTTTAGAGTTTGTCCGACCACCAAGCGACCATCCCAGCAGGACGAGTCTTGCCGAGAATGCAATAAAGCTCATATAATTAAAATTAAAGGTGAGATGAAAGAAAAATATGGTAGCTGTAATGTACTTATTCATTCTTGCACAACTCACAATTTTATCAGCAATTAATCTAAGATTCTGAGCTAATATGAAAGATCTAATATATATACAAGAAAATACTCCTAAATTAGTATCCATAATTTTACCGTTTGATTTCCTACAAGTATATCTAGGAATAGAAGGCAGAAGCTTATGGCCATGGTGTTAGCTACTAAAAAATGTTGTCATTAATTCCTTCATCGCCATTTCATCCTCCAAATTGATCAGGGTGCCTTTAAATATTTGCTAGAACCACACCTTATCAATCTTGAGTACGATTATGGCTTGCCCAATTATATTAGGGCACCATTTTGAAATCAAATTTCAGCCAGGGTTGGGTTAAAGTTGCAGATGCATTATCTCAATAAATCATTCCCTTTGAGCCAATTATCCATCCATCCATGCATCTCTCGAAAAATCACAAAGTAGGTGGTGCTGGCCTTATATGGCTCCTTCACTGATAACCAAACAAGAACTTATTCAAGTGCAATCTCCTAATTGGAGTATCACTCAAATATACAGCAACAAATCAAACACAAAGCCCCTCAAAGGTAAAGATACGATCAAGTTATCAAAACCAGGAAATTAAATGGTGAAAAATAAAGGCACCTCCAATTTGTCTTCCTTAGCTCTATGGTTTTTTGGGAGCAGACGGAACTCCTCTGTTAACTGAAAGCATTCTTCCACATTTTCCGGGGACACAAAGTCCATAGCCACTTTTATGCATGACTGAAGTAGTTGAAACATGTAAAAATTAAATAAAAGTTGAAAATTAAATAAAAGTTGAAGAAATAATTAATAGAAAACCAAAAATATGAGAATCATGTCAAATACATAAGTGACAATATACAGCATCACTTTTTTGCTACACATCCCCTTCTACCCTAATTCAAGAAAATCTCCATGTTTTCTACCAAACAGAATCCATAAATTAAGGCATCACAGAGCATATAAATTTTATGCATAATAATTAATGTCCAAAATATATATTAGTCGTCCAAGCAAAATTATAGCACTACAAAATATTGTTTAGAATCAGATGGTAGCTAGTCAGTACTTGTCTATTTCGCACTTGATGAGGGCATCCTGCTGGAATGAAAACTGCCTCGCCAATGAACTGTTCAAATGTCCAGGGTTCAACACCTACATAAAGTGATAGAAACTATAATAACTATTCAAGCCAATATTTAAGTACCCGCAACTTCGCAAAGCAGTGAGATGAGGAGAGAACAATTACCAAACTCCTCCTTCAGCTGCTTCTTGTGTTTTGCATTGAAGAAAATAGTCTGATCATGAATTGGATGAACAAGCTGTAGAAAGCACAAACATGAATGCAATCGATCTCCTGAACAGATAATTTTATGAAGCTAACACTAAGCAGAGCGAGTACTTACAGAATTTACAGGTTTATTCTTCATATGACGAAATTCCTTCTGGTGCTTTTCTAAGTACTTGGCTATCTTGGGAACATCCTGCCTACGGAAAATGTCCCAAACAGCTCCACCCATAGCAACCTCCATTTTTTCGTCATTTTCTAAATGACTATCTGCCCTATCCATAATTGAACCTTTTGATCTTAGGTTATTATCTTCATTGCACCCTGAGGCTTTTTCTGAATCACAATTTTCATTAAAGATTTTAGTTGTATCGTCTGAAGATTGACCACATTGCTGACTTGATGTGCACCCAAGAATTTCTTTCTTAGAAGCCTTAAGTCCATCTATTCCACCATATAGTTGAGAAAGATCTTCAGCAGCAAACTGTTTTTGCCTCTTTTCAATGATTTTGGTTTGCCAGGGCTTAATATTAACTTTACTTGTATGAGTCAGTACATTTACCTTTACAAAATTGTTGATATGATAAGCAATGCTATGCAAATAGATTAGTTGCAATAACAAACATTATCATAACTGGAGAGAATGACTTGTTCGGAGAAACAGGGTGATATTTTTCTCATGCAGAAAAAAAATATAGACTAAATTACAAAAAATACCCCTGAACTTTGCCCTTTGGTTAAAAAATACTCATATCGTTTCAAAAGTTTTAATACTACCATTGACTTTTTATAAACGTTTCAAAAATACCCTTTAAGCTTACATCCATTAATATTTTGAAAGGAAAGTTGACATGGTACAATCTAAAACGACGTGGCAATTAAGATAGAAGCGTAGGAAAAGATAGGAAATTTGGAAGAAGCTATTGTTTTTAAAAGGAGATTAGGGTGAAATTGGAGCAAACTCTCCTTACAAGGGAGAAAGAATATTTTATGACAAAATTTGGACGTTAATTGCAGCGCTAATTGTCATGTCGTTTCAAATTCTACCGTGTCAACTTTCCATTCAAAATATTAACAGATATTTGCCTAAAGGGTATTTTGAAACATTTGTGAAAGGTTGTATTGAAACTTTGGAAATGATAGGGGTATTTTTGAAATAGATGGTAAGGTTCTTGTAATTTAGCCAAATATATATAACCAGATTAAATAATTGAAATATAAAATCTGAATGGCAGCCTAACATCTCATGTTTGTGCAATTATTAGTCAACAATCACCCACCAATTAATTACATATCAGAAGTTCAGCAGATTAAAGTACACGTGAAGAAGAGTTCAAAGGAAGTACACTATTTATAAAGGATTACTACCCAATGCTCTATCCTTGCAACTTGATAAACTGAAAATTCAGTGCTGTGTTTCTAGTACTCCATAGATCGCCAATATACTTAATATATATTTTTAAAAAATAAACTAATTTCATGAAGGGTACAAGATGAAATAAAACAAGAAGCTACCAGCTTCTAAATCCACCTGTTCCACTCATGATGCACAAAATGAGTTTATTTCCTTGTGTGTGTGTGTGTGTGCCTTATCAGCAGAATAAGCAGAAAAATGCATAAATGAAGGCAGGAAAAAGATACAACTTCAATGGAAGGACTAAAGTATTACCGCATCAGACATATCACAGTGAAGCTTTGTTACAGAGTCACCTCTGCTGAGCTCCTCCTGGAATCCATACGCAATATAAGTTTTGGGTCCCATATCAGGCTTTAGTGAGCCTTCTGGAAGTTTGGTAGCAAGATTCAGAAGACCATATTTTGGGTGGGTATATTCGCTGTAAGGAAGTGCTGCAATAAACTCAGCACAATGCCTAGGCAAACGCTCCTCAAATGAAGTTGATGAAGGCCAATCCTTCAGTTTCAACATCTCTGGCCATCCATTTCTGTACATACGGCCTTCCAAGTAACCCACAAAAAACTGGTGGATATTGATCTCAACCTACAAATAATGACAGGTCAACATGTACTACTAAGACTTGGAGGATATAATAAAATTATTCGCACTTGCGGTTCACTATTATAACTTGAATGCAATTTGATAACTAACCTCACACAAGTCAAAGCAATCAATGGCCTTCACCCTGCGTGTTTCCTCTTTGAACTTGACATTTGCACCTGTTTGTCTAAAAGCTCTGCACATAACCATAGGTTCCCAACTAAGACCAGATGTTTTGTCAAGAACATTTCTGACAATAACTGGTTCACCCTTCATCCAGTGAAATTGAAAATGATCAACGGCATCATCCATTATATCAGTAGCATTTGGAGAGTATAAGAAGTTATCGTGACTATTTTCCCTGAAAGCTGCTTGTCTGACTTCATTACTGTTAAGATAGCATGACGGACAGACTTCAGAAGAACAACTATCAGGTACTTTGTAATCACTTGTAAGCCCCTCTGCTCCTTCTATCAACTTCGTAGTCCAATCAGCTTTAAAGGTACGTCTCAACTCCAAATTTGCAATCCCGCAACCCCCACTTTGTTTTGGAGGACATGGTATACTACCATCAGGATTGGCACTCCAACCCTGGAAACTTGACGACATGCCATTCTTATATGTGGATGTTAACTGACACTCTCTTCCTGCCAGCAGATTGATGTCACTCATGATGCTGTTAACTAGACAATTTATTTCTAAAAATTGTGCGACAAATATTAATTTCACTACCTTTAGGATGGAAACTTTCCCTTAGCTCTTTACAGCAGCTAAGACATAGATCGAAAGAACAGTTTGGGTTGAAGCAGCTTCTGTAAAAATTAAAGATCGAAGTGTTGCAATTGTCGCTGTCATATAGAAACATATTTTTCAGGGAGAGAGAGATTCTGCATTCTCTAGTCTGTATGGATGCATTCTCAAAAAATGCTGCATCTCATTTATGATTTATGTGTGCATGTGTTAGTGAGATAGAACAAATAAACACTAAACCAGAGCTCACATATATACTGTTGATAATAAATTGTTTATAAGTAAACACCAGCTCTACAAATTCATTCAATAAAAGATTTCACTATGTCAATGCAAGTCATTTCATTTTTATTTTTTTTTTTTATCTTACCTTCTTCTCCAGTGTTCCTTTAAAAAGGGTGAAGAAGGGGATTGACAAGGATCAAGACACCAGAATAATTGAGATTGTAAAATGACACGGTCTCAAACACCATGATCGAGGCAATTTTATGGGACTTCTCTTTTTTGGCGTAAGAAACATGTTCATTGATGAATGAAATTACAAAAGTGGGCCCATGATAGGGGATTACATCCCACTATTCCAACTAAACAAGAGTGAAGAAACAATTATATGGAACTTCTCAGTCCAAGTGATTACAACACAACCATAAGACACTCACAATCACTCGTGTCATCCTTGTAAATGAACTACAGGTTGTTCGTAAGTAGAATTTTTTCTTTTTATACTAAAACTCCACCAATCATCTGTCCATTCAGTTCGACACTTCAATCACTGAACCGAACGAGGTTGACAAGGGGTTTGATCCCATTACGACTAGGTTAAAACCAAGGAGTCTTAGATAAGTAGAAATTCAGTGAATACTATTCAATAATATTTAGATTCATGTGGTCGCAGTAATAAAGCAAAATAACAATTAAAAGAAAAAGTCTGAAAACATACCAATACATGCGCTCTGTATTATCCAGTTTAATTCTTCTTACATCCACTTCTGTCAATTGAGCACCTGGAACTCACAAAAAATTATAATGATCGTTTAATAACAATGCCCAGAAATTAAGTTCATTCTCTTGAAACCAGATTCTTTAAAACAACATACCCTGTATATTGCCTTCAATCTCCAGTTCAGAACTCTGTTCCCTTTGAATATGCCTGAGAACGGGCAGAACCTTATATAGCAAGAATTTTAATCGCTCTACTTTTACACTTGCATCCAATTCTTTGGGAACAACCTGTCAAGAAAAACAAGACAATAGCATAAAATAACCGCAGGATTACCCAACTTCAAGTTACTGGAAACTGGAAAATGAGGGCACTGGGTAAATGAAATTTTCACCTCTACAAACTCTCTTAAGCAAGCCTTGCAATTACAGTGACCACGGCAAAATGGGCATGCATTCTCAACATCCTCCCTTGTTCTATCAGGGTACCTGTTTCATTTCAAACCATTTTGAAGAGTTTTTTCTTGACATCCTCGATAAAATCATATACAAACAATGGCTAAAATCAAGCAACCCTGAAATTTAGTTTGACACATGCTAACTGCAGAAAATACAAGCTAAAAAGTAATCAGTCTTCTTACCATCGTTCAATACACTTATAGCAAAACCGTTTTCTATGGCATTTTAAACAGAAGACAACCCCACTTTTATCATTTCGCTGACACTGATGACACATCAAACTCCCACCATCCTTTTTATTTGGCGTACCCTGAACATGAAAGGTCCTCCAATTATCATGGGATATGTTTGTGCGCAGATTCATGCATTTATATGTAGGAATGATATAAGTACATTGTATACAAGAAAAGAGTTTTGATGTTACCCTCAAATAACTGGTCGTTTTTATCCAAATAATAATTCACCATATATAAAAGCAAAATAATTTCCTAGCAAAACCACATCAAAGAATATAACAGAACTCGTGTTGTTGTTGTTGTTATTATTATTATTATTATTATTATTATTATTATTATTTGAACAAGATACGAACTTTTCATTGATAAATGAAAATGAACAAAATTGTTCAAAGATACCAACTAGAAAAGGAGTGAGCAAAAATATAAGAAGCAATAAATAAGAGAAGACATTAAAACAAAGTATAAAGATAAAACATCCCTACTGGAGAGTTATAAATGCCTCCCGATTCATACAAGTATAAAAAACTTGTGTTAATTACAACTCCTATGATTCGTAGAGAACCAAAATATAGGGACTCGTATCTGAAATTTTTACTTTATAGGCCATTGTTTCCTGAGACTCTCCAAAAAATTACATGAAGACTCAAAGCACTCTGAAGTGCACTGCATGCTATGTAACCATTAGATCACCACTCAGCAAATGGCTTGCAGACTTACAGTTACGTATCAATTAAAACCATTATCCTTAGATTTCACCTGAATTGTGTTTTTGTATGATTTGTGGCTATATAGACCATATGCCATTATTTGAAAACCATCTTAATGTCGTTTCAGTCAGGTTTAACACGATGCCTAAAATTCCTGGAAGGATAAAAAAAGTAAGATGTTTAAACAGTAAAAGCATCTCACGTGATATTACTATCAAGGTTTAGCTAACCAAAAGTTATACCCACACGTATGTTTATATCTGGAACTCCATTTCCGTGACCAACTTTAGAAACTTCAGAGATCCTTTTTAACCTTACGGCACTTTTTCCAGCCTGCCAGACCCAATAACGTCCTTATTCTCATCGTCATTACATCTTCCAGAAAAATGTAATTTTTTTTAAAGAAAATCTGATAAGATGAAATGCATTAAACAAATAGAGGCCATGTTCTTCATGGGGAGAGACTAGAGAGAGGACTTAAACACTCGCTCATTCCCAATTCCTCGATCCAAATTACAGTAGGAATCGACTAATATCTATATTTGCCATCTCTAGCTTCTTTGAAGTCTAATCCTTTCCCACGGGCTGCTATAAAATCCCTTCGTTCAAAACAAATCAGCAACATCCTTTCGCAACTCAGCTTAGTCAAACTCTTACGGAAGTCAACAAAATTCATTCACTAATTACCATACTATGGAGTAATATTTTTCCTCAGAAAACTGAATAGAAAAATATCTTACCACCGACTTCCACACAAGGAGCGAACATTCTTAACAAATGTTCATGGGGGGCGACATTTAAAAATAAAAGGAGAAATTAAACTCGAGCATTGAATTTACCACCTCCACCAGTTTTCCATTCGCTAAAACATGATTTCTCTTGTGCTTAGCGGACTTGCTTTGCCTTTCCGCAGAATTGGCCTTTTCCTTCCGGAAGTTATTCTTTCCGTGACTCAATTCGAAAGAACTGAACTCAGATTTTCCAGAATCTCTCACGCTAGTAACATCTTTACAAGGAAATTCCTCTCCATCATAAGTAGACAGCTGCCTCTTGTGCTTTCTCACCAGAATTCCATTCCGCCCGAGCTCATCTTCACTCGCTACCTCGTGCGATCCACATCCCCCATCTTTCACCTCCTTCCTCGTCGTCGTCTCCTTCATAACTCTAACCGACGCATGTACGTCACGGTGAGAACTCCCGCCGGCAGCAGTGGCCTCGCCGGAACAGCAGCCTTTCCCTCCTTTCCGCACCCTATGCAGACTTTGCTTCATCAGTTGGATCAAGTGCTTCTCACAGTACGACTTCCCCGGCGACGCAAATTCCCTGCAGCGCCACCGCGCACCGTCGTTACGCTTGCAGCGGAGAGCGCCCGACGAGTCCTCGGGCGGAGATGACATCGAATCGAGTAATGGGGTGCGATGTAGATGACGCAACAGAACAGAAGAGAGGGAGTGGTGTTATTCAATTGGAAATGGAGAGGCGAAATCCGGCGTCTGGATTAGTGAAGGAAGAATCATGGTTCATTCGAAACTTGCGTCGCATCAGGAATCTCTTCCTCTACGCTAACGAAATTGAGAGTGGGAGAATCAACGTGGGACATGCCGATAACAGAACCTGGTCTGACTCTTGTGTGATGAATCAGGCGCCAAACTGTGGGCGCTCCGCTCCTTCTTATGGAATATGCTCCATAGTTCCAAACTACCCGCTTTTGGAAATTTTTTCATTCGTCAGCCTTCTGAAATTCAACAGGTTTTTCGCTTTCCCCGTTCTTTTTTTTTTCCCCTTCTGACTTTCAAAAGTGGGCAAATATATAATAATATTTTGTCACAAATATATATATATGTCAATATCACTATTCTTATTGAACTAAACCTATTGATTTAGCATTTTTCGATTTTGCACTTACTGAATCTTCACTCTCACATGTTATTGTGGTAAAATAAATCGAAAAACAGATTATACATCTATTACAAAAGTCAAGGTTTAAATTCCTCATTCTTACTTTGATTTTCCTCAAATGCTTGATTTTATTTGTTTTGTTTACGTAGATGTTGGTAGCTCCGGATCCAAAATTTGCTTTATCCAATATCAAACCCCCTATGGATAAATAGAAATGAGTAATCCTAAGGATTGAGCTCATGATGGCTACTCAAAGATTCATAGTGAACTTTGATAGGGGCTTATCTTGAAGCAATAATGAAATTCCCGCTCGTTAATACAAAGAGCCCAATAAACATATCTAGCCGATGAACATTTGGACACAAATAGTACTAAGTCCAACAAACTTTGATGTCTAAGCCAGTAAAGAGTTTAGTTGAAAAATAGTAAAAGCAGGAGTATAAAATGTAACTAACGTCACAAGTCTATYGTCTTATTTATAAATAGACTCTCATTAAGTTGGTTAAGATGAATCAGCTTGGGTCTAATATGTTTGGGTGGTTCGACCCACAAACTCCATTCGTGAAAATTTGAAGGATAATTTATCTGCGACATATTTTCATTATTAACCATTGTAAGGATAATTTTACCGCAGCAAGAAAAACGATGGTATTTCAAATAGATTATTGATACAAGTGAGGGGCCAAGCGTGGTGTAGCAACGGCCACCAGAGGATGGGCCTTGGGCATGGTCATCCCATAGACCTCATTGGTATCAATATCTCGCAGCTCCACTCCTTCCGGCGGAGCCCAATCGAAGCAATGGAACAACTGGGCCAGCCCCATGAGCACCAAAGTCACCCCCAGCGGCGCGCCAGGGCACTTCCTCTTGCCGGCGCTGAACGGCAGTATCTTAAAATCGCCTCCATGGCTAATCTCCACTCTGCTACTCCAGTGCCTCTCCGGCCTGAACTCCTCCACGTTGTCCCAAACCTTGGCATTGCGTCCCAGCCCATGCGTGTTGATGAAGATCCTGGTCTTTGCAGGGACGTGGTAGCCGTGGATCGTGGTGTCGCGCAGCGACTCGTGGGGGATTAGGAACGGCCCGGCTGGGTGCATCCGGAAGGTCTCCCGGACCACGCATCGTAAGTAGTTGAGATGGGCTAGATCCGACTCTGAGACTAACCGGTCGTGACCCACGATTTTGTCCAGCTCTTCTTGGACCTTGCCCAAGACTCGTGGGTGTTTGATTACTTCTGTCATTGCCCACTCGTTTGTCACTGCTGATGTGTCTGTTGCTGCTGCAATCATGTCCTGAATCATGCGTTCATCAATCACTTGAATTAGAATAAAATGATTTCAAATTTCTATAAATCGGTACCGAAACTAATTTTTATGGATTTCAAATAAGTAAAAAATAATTATTTTTTTTTTGGTTTTGAGGATTTCAGAAATGAAAAAGAAAGTATTCGTCTTTATAATTATATATTATTTTCAAAAATAAAATCCTTACCTTCTTCTCTATTTTCTTTTTTCTCTTCCTATCTCATCTCCTTCTCAATTTTCTTTCCTCTATTTTTATTTCATCTTTCTTATCTTTTTATCTCGTCTCATTCTTTACATCATGTTGATACATGACTATAGCGCTGTCTCCATCTCTAACTAGCCTGCATATCATATAAATTTTTTTTTTTATAAATTTTTTCAAGGATTTCAACCATAAAATTGTAAAGAAAATATTTGTCTCCTCAACAACTAGGAGAAATGTCCTCCCACGAAAACTCATTTTATTTTAAAGAAATTATATTTTTCATTTCTTTATCTTCTCTATTGCTGAGGAGGGAAGTATTTTTCAGTTATAATATGGTCAACTTTCAATTAAAAATCAACTTATTTTGAATGGATTATTTTGAGACAAAAAGGGATTTCAAATTCAAACTACAGAAATGAATTTCAAGTCACCTCAAGTTCCAAATAGGGATTAGTAGTGTTGTTTGTATCTACTCCTTAATTTTGAAAAAATGGAAAATCATTTTCATCAAACGAACACCTTCTTAAAGGATGAAGGGAAGGGAAGTTTTTGCAAAGAGATTACTTGAATAAGTGCTTTGATCTCCACATCATCCATATGTTCCTTCCCATCTTCACCAGGCAACGACAACAAAACATCAACAAAATCCATATCTCCCCCATGCCCAATTCTCCTCCTATGCTCTTCAATAATCTTGGTATGAAAATCATCCACTTGCTTCTCCACTTCCCTCATCTTCCGCTCACACCCATGCGGATCCACCCACCTCCAAAATGGCAAATAATCCCCCAAATAAATCACCCCCAAAAGCCTAAACAGCTCATGCGTTATGTGCATAAACTCCACCGCCTCGCTCCGCCCACCACAGCCACCCCCGAAGTACTGCTTCCCCACCAGCATCCTCGTCACATTGTTCATCGAGAACCCCCCCAGCACCTCCCTCAGGTTTATGGGCCTTCCCCCGCGGGCCCGGGCCCAGACGTCTCGGGCCAGATCTCGGGCCTCCTCCGCCCGGTGGCCCGCGAACGATTCCAGCCGCTTCGTGGTCAGGAGATGCTCCATGCAGATCCGCCGCATCCGCTTCCAGTTGGGGCCGAAGGGGGCGAGGGCCACGTCGCCGCAGCCGTACGCGAGGTGCACGGCGGCGAGCGTCCTTGGGCGGGAGGCGAACACGTCGTCCTGCTGGAGGAGGATCTCGCGGATGGTGTCGGGATCGTCGGTGGTGATGGCGTCGACGCTGCCGAGCTTCAGGTACACCAATGGGCCGTACTTTTTGCATAGTTCCGACATGTCGCGGTGGGGGAGGTGGGTTAGTTGGAGGAGGTTTCCGACGATCGGCCACCCGCGGGGGCCCGGAGGAAGCTTGATTGGGGGTGTTTGGAAGAATCTCAGGCAGAGGAGTCTGAGAAGTACTGTGGTGAGAGTGGCGAGAGCAAAAGCGATGAAATCCATGAGATGGGATTTGATGTTCTTGAGTTTGAGTTTGAATTTGAATCCTTCTTCTAAATGGGTGTGACTTGTGAGGAAATGATCTTTGGGTGTGGTGGTTGGATGGTTTCAAGAGGCAAAGATCGTGGAATGGGGTTGGTTTGTTAGTTGATTGGTGTGAGATGCAATTTTGGATATTGACAGAAATGAAACGGGCATGGTTTGAAAATCTTTATTATATGGATTGTGGAAAATTAGTAATAAAGAACAGCCTATTTAAATAATCCCTATTTAATACGAACTCTCTCTTTTCATAATAGAATTTTTATGTTGTCCCAATTCATCGTATTTAACAAGGATCACCTTGTAAGTTTAAATACTATTGGGTGATCAATAATGAAGTAATACCATGAGGGAAGATGAGAATAATCCCCATCGAAGAAAGGGGAACCGAAAAAAGGAGAGAAAAGTTTTAATTCCTGATTCTCTTGTAACTCGAGAATGCAGCATTTTTGTCTTCAAAATAATCAAATTCAAAATGGATTCAACATGATGATATGATTAACTTTTTGCAAGGATATTGAAAAGTTAAATGGATTTGTATGGGATGAAGTAATCATTAAACTCTAATCAATGTACTTTGCAATTGTTGACCATAATTCCTGAACCAAGTTACCATAGCAAACATCTCTGGAAAAAAAATTATATGTTTGTCTTTTTATGGTGTGAGAAAGTCGCATATATAATATGTCACTTAAATTTTTATTTTTATTTTAATGTTTATCAAACTAATGACATCTAAGATATCCCTTCAACACAACATAGGTAATTGAACGATCACGAAGACGTTTTAAAAGCACAGAAGTAAAAATATTTTAAAAAATAGATACCTTTTGAAAGTATATAAATTAAATTATTTTGATGAAAGGATATGTAAACCTAAAAAATAATTTTGCCAATTAAAACACAAAAAGAAGAAAGAAAATATTAAAATTCTAACAATGCCTAACAAACTCAAAGTTGAATAACAAGTATCAAATACAATATTAAATAAGTATATCACGTAAAATATTGCTTTCTTCCCCTCTCTATATATAATATACATACCAATTATTTTAATGATTCATACTAATTTATCAAAACAATTGATAATATTAATTGACGCATTTGAAAAATTGGAAATCCAGAATCAATACATTAAATAATATTTTACTTGCTTCAATAACAATGAATGGTTCCATGGTCTAGTGGTCAGGACATTGGACTCTGAATCCAGTAACCCGAGTTCAAATCTCGGTGGAACCTAATTTTTCTTTTTTATTTCCTTTCATTTTTCCTTTTCGGGTCTCCAACTCCGCCGATGCAAACCGCAGCCAATGGAGTTCTTTCTGCAACAAATTACAACAGTTCCGAGCGGAGGCGGCCGTTTACATTTCTCCAACGAACCGTGCCCAACGGAGGAACGGCTGCAACAGTTTCCATTTCCCTTTTAACTTCTTTTCTTTGTTTCCGAGACTGATTCTGCAGTATTTTCGCTTTATTGTCAAGAAAGATGGACCCTGAGACCCGGCGGAGAATCGAGGAAACGGTGATTGACGTATTGCAGAAATCGAACATGGAAGAGATGACGGAGTTCAAAGTTCGAGCCGCGGCCGCAGAACGGCTCGGAATCGATCTCTCCGGAATGGAATGCAAGCGGGTGGTGAGGAACGTGGTCGATAAATTTTTACTTTCTATCGTGGAGCACGAGGACAAGGGCAAGGAGGAAGGGACTGGCCCTAGTGCTCCTGACCACGCTAAAGCGGTGGTGCAGGAGATAATCCCCAAGAAGGAGATCAACGATGATGGTGCCCGTCTGATTTGCAAGGTAAAGGCAATGCCCTATATTATGATTCCTGAGAAAGAAAAAAAACATGTGAATTTGAAAGGTGATAATTTGGAATTGTGCATATATCTGGTGAACTTACTAATTTAACTTCAGTTCAATGGAGCTAGTTGGCTTAGTTTAAATCTGCACTATGACATTATACAATATTGGTTGGTCTGTTCTGTTCTAGAATGCTTCCAAAGCTGGTTATTTCTACCTAAGTAAATTGAAAATTATCTATGTTTCTATTGCTAGATTGTTTTAAATTCTTTGTTCATAATCTGCACTATGACATTATATAATATTGGTTGTCCTGTTCTTTGTTCATGAAATTCTGTATGCCTTCTCTGGCATTTCTGCACTATGATGTAAATTGTAGGCTCACCTATATTTGTGATTGTAATATTTAAAGAAACGATCATCCGAACAACACCTATATGTAATTAAAGAAACGATTATTGTAATATTTAAGCACTACGTCCTCTCTCTCTCTCTCTCTCACACACTCACACACAACGGTTGGGTTGTTAAAATTATCAATTGCAGATTTTACCCAATGTGCTACATGATCCCCCTTGATTCTATTTGCAATTTCGTCGTTTGACAGCTAAAGTTTTTTGGTTTATTTCAGTTATCTGAAAACAGGAATGTGACAATTCATGATTTTAGAGGGAGAACTTTGGTATCGATTAGGCAGTATTATGAAAAAGGTGGAAAACAACTTCCTAGTGCTAAAGGTGGGCATTATGCATTGGTCTCTTCCTTTCATCTTATGGTGAATCTTCTTATTTTGCCCTGACACACCCTAACACATTTGGCTGAGGTGATATATTGGAAAATTTCTGGGAACTCGATTCTCTCTTACCATGTGAGTTCCGTTAATCTCGTTTACGTTCCCTTTTTCTTTGTTCACCTTTTACTCATGCATAGGGGGTGGGTTGAGAGTGCCTTGCTTGCATCTTTAACTCTTAACTATGTAAATCTAGATTAATTAACCACAATTTCGTATGACTCCAGCTGATATCAATTTTGATTTTGACCTGTTGGGAGTTTCTTCTCATGGGTCCAAACTACCAACCCCATTCGTAGTCCTATACGCCCCACCTTTTTTCATTTTAATGATGAATATTTGTATTGATTTTTTCCGTACTGAATTTTTGTTGCTAGGAATCAGCTTGCTGACTGAACAATGGGCGGCCCTTAGGAGTAGTATTCCTGCTATAGAGGAAGCTATTTTGCAGATGAAAAAAAGATTAAGGTGAGAAACCATGTTGATATTCTTTGGCAGTACTGTTCTTGAACCTGCTACTAACAGATCATCAAATTTATTTCATTGACAAGAAAACTTTAAAGTTCCATACTAGGTTTTCAGGTGCTAGTGTCCAAATGTAGATCCCAAATAGAATTTTGTCTTGATATTTCCACTTATTGAGTTGCCTTGTTGGAGGATTCAAATTACATGACAATAGGTATATAGTTGAAATATCTGACTATTACTTATATCATGTAGATTTCGACATGATGCTGAAAAAATTGATGCTGTCTCAGATTCCACAACTGAAGTTACTCCTCCAAAATTTCCTTTTGAAATTATTCGGTTTGATGGAAAAAACTACCACGTATGGGCACGTCAGATGGAGTTTCTCCTGCAGCACTTAAAGATTGCTTATGTACTTTTTGATTCATGCCCTAGTGCTGTTCTTGGGCCAGGATCAAGCTCTGGAAATGCTGCTCAGTCCATGGCCGCTGAACAGAAATGGATGAATGATGACCACATGTGTCGCCACAACATTCTGAACTCCCTCTCCGATAGTCTTTTTCATCAATACACAAAGAGAACAATGAGTGCCCGAGAACTCTGGGAGGAGCTAAAATTGCTTTATCTTTTTGAAGGATTTGGCACCAAGAGAACTCAAGTAGAAAAATATGTGGAATTCAGGTTGGCCGAGGAGAAGTCAATATTAGAACAAGTTCAAGAACTTAATAGCATTTCTGATTCCATTGTAGCTGCTGGAATGCGGATTGACGAGGATTTTCACGTTAGTGTCATTATGTCAAAGCTTCCTTCTTCTTGGAAGAATGTGTGGATGAAGTTAATGCAAGAGGAGCCTCTTCCCCTTTGGAAGTTGATGGATCGATTGAGGATTGAAGAAGAACTACGAACACAACAAAACTCACATCTCTCAGGAGCGTCTTCTAATCCAGTAGACCGACATCCTGCCCCGGATCGCATTTCAAAGATGAGAGACCCAAAGCTCACAAGCCCACAGTTCAAGAGAAAGGAAAGGCAAGTGGATAACATGCCTTTACTCTGCTTTGATTGTGGCAAGAAAGGGCATATATCTCGAAATTGTCCGAGTAGGAAGGTCGATAATGAAGTTACTAGGGAAAGAAGATAGCAGATTCTTACTGAGGTAAATATGCCGGGGGACAAAAAATATGGATTCACATTTAGATACCACCCCTCTTGATTCCTGTGTTCTTTTAATGCATGGAATACAATACTCAATTTTCATGACAAACTTGTTATCTTCTTGATTTCTACCTAGTTCTTCAGGATGGTTATATTCTCTCACCCTCCTTTTTGAAGCTTGTGTGAATTATAGCTTTTTTCATTGAAACCACTTAGGGAAGATCATTGGAGTGGTGAAACTACAATTGACTCTAAAGTTGATCGCTTCCTGCTGGATTGCATTATGAGCAGATGATGAATTTATAAGCTTCTAGTTAGATTAACAATGAACTTGTTCATTAAACCCTTGTTTTTTTCCCCCATTAAAAGGTTAGATTTTTCTCTTAAATCAGTCTCACTACAATCACCCATTTAAATTTTCTTCAATATTTGTTCAACTCTATCTTCTTTCTTCCTCTTTCTCTATCTGATGAGCTAGTAGTCAAAACGTTTCAGTTCTTAATGATACAAGATTAAGATTCCCCTCCTCACCAAAAAGAAGAAGTCTTTTTTTCACCAAAAGAGAGTCCTTTAACAAAAAAGAGAGGGAAGAATATAAATAATGAAAAGATGAAATGGGAAGAAAAAGTATGAAAAAAAAGGCCATTAAAATGGTTATGTCAGAACCACTTTGTTATTTGCTTCACCTTTAATGTGGAAGTCTATGAGTTGTGTAGTTTAAGAGAAGCATTGTGGTCAGTTTTTTTTACTGTCTCAGAACATTTAAGGCGTGTAGTTGAGTGCTTTAATTTCTCCTTTAACCCGTAGGGACCCCCCTCTATGGCTAAAACTTTTAAATTTCAACCTCTCTTTCAATTCATCTAATTTTCTTTATCATAGTCTTCGATATATATTTTATTGAGTTCAAATATAATTTGGCTTCATAAAGTTTAGAAAGCTTTGTTTTAGTTCTTCTTAAGTTCAGTATTCTATCCTTGTTGTTTAAATCACTGATCAAAAAGTTATGTAACTCATTTTGTTGGGATATTTTTGCAGAACAACGAATGTGGGTCGGTATTTGAACCTTCAACCTTAAAGAAAAGAAGGTTAGACCCTCAAATGTGGAGCTATGTTTATGTTGACAATAATTGAATTTGAAACTTATTAAGTTTGACCTGATTTAGGAATGAAGGGCACTTTTTAAGCATATTTCAAAACTTTCCTGAGGAAGTCAGAGTAATAAAGTAACAAATCTCTTGTCAACGGAACAATTCATCAAATCATTTCTCGCTTCAATCTCTAAATAGGATGAGGGATAAAGCACGTAATTAAATGCTCTTAAAAGAAACAATTCATTTAAAAACAACTGTAAAAAATAATCTCAAAAGACTAATGATGAAAACTTTTAATCCCTTAGGGATCAAATTTTTGTTATCCTAAAATACCTAACAAAAACTCTCTTTTCTCAAATTCTATGAGGCTCTAAGATGTGATATTCGGATGGTTGAGATTAGATATTTTGATCCAATAAAAAAGTACCATAAATTTCTGCGGTGTTTTTTGTTGAGTTTTAAATCTTAAAATACTCAAAATAGAATGCAACTTTTGCATTTTATTTTAATATTAAAAGAAAATACCAAAAAAATAATAATAATTAAAAAGAAGTGATCTTTGGATGCATAGAAGGGTCAGAAGTCAGAAGTGGTTTTGTCATATTTTTCAACAAGTCTGAGCCATTTGTCTCTTAATTTTTGTCATATTTTCCATGTTTGTGCCAATGCCTATAAGGTCCACACGCTATAAACTTATGAGATTTACTAAAAAAAAATGTCCTTGTTTTCTAATATTCAAATTTCCTCCATTTCTTTAGGCTTTTTTTTCCCTTCCTTTCAATTAGTTGGATCCATCCAGCTCATTTATTATATGTGAATATAAAAGATGGAGGCTTTGTGATGCTGGACAAAATATAGTCCCTAGTGATTATCGATGTTAAGAACAATGGCCATTAGTAGCGTTTTAGACAAAAGAAAACATGGGTGGATTTTACATTGAAATGAGAGAGACGCGGATAATTTCTCGATCAAAAAATCAAAAGTTCAAATTCACATCTCATATATCGGTTGACTCAAAGAAAATAAATCTTTCTTTAGTTGAGTTATTTCTGGAGGACAAAAGATTTTGTATTACAACACGCAACCATTATTAGAGAAGAGGTGAACTAGAGAAGTAGACTGCTATTGTAGGGTGGTCCAAGGAGAAAAGAAAGCATGACTATAGTAGATGTTAGACTGACGACCACTAGTGATAACTCAATTCGTAACGTTTAATCCAATATTCATGAACCTTTCTCTCTAATTCGTGCCTTACTTTGAAAAAGACAACAATAATATTATGAGGATGAAATAACTATAAATCAAAATGCTTACATATGATGAATTAAGCACATAATATTCTATGAATTAAGCACATAATATTCTTTTTCAAAACCTTGAGGAGAAAATTTCCAGAAATATTGAAAATATAAACTATGAGAGAAACAAATGGATAAGTTATTTTAGAACGAATCAAGGAAAAACTAAAAGCTAAGGTTTTAAATTTTGATCCAGATGGAAATAATGAGGTATCAATTCTGTGAGAAAGTCGATAAAAATATTGATAAAATGTGAATATTTTGGAAAATTCATAAAAAGAAAATGTGATTAACAAATAAATATTTTACCATTAAAAAGTAAAATTTAAAAATTTTGTTATTAGTATTATATGTTTACTTATAATATTTGGTTGATATTCTCTAATAAGTCCTCAATTTATTTGTGATACAATGAAAACATCGAATTCTCCTACGTCGATGTCAAACCCATAAACATGAAAATGTCGAGTAGATGAAAATTAGAACACAAAACCGTAAGAAAAAATAATAAAACAAAAGAAGATAATTTCAAGATATCTTATTAAAAAATCTTAAATTAATACGTTGGTTATATTAAACCACTCGCCTATTAATCCGTTGGCAAAAATTCAACCAATTGGGAAAAAAGCCATCATAATTTCTATCAGTCTCTATCTTAATCTTAAATTAGCCATATGGAGAAAAATAAACTTGCACATCCCAAACAATAATAATAATAATACCAATTTATTAATGGAATTAAGAATTTGAAACGTTTAAAATTGTTATAAAAAAAAGTACAATTATTGGTATTGGAAGTGCCAAATGTATGTGGCATCAAGATGTCACACCAAGCTCTCATTTCCTCTTTTTTTTTTTAATTTTCCAAAAATTTTACAACCCACAAAAAAATAAAATATCAATATTAAAATGAAAATAAAGAAAAGCATTTCACATGCATCACATGGTTTGTGTGATTATCATGCATCACATACAACACCATTCTGACCATTACCTTTCATTTTCAAAAAATTATTCTCCCCTCCTTTGATTTTTCTTCCTCCATTTTCTACTTTTGCTAGTAAAATGGTTAAATTTTGGATTGTGGGCCAAAGCTTTTGTCTGTTTATCATTTCAGTCCCTGAGTTGTTAAAGTTTCTGTTTTAGTCCCTATGCTTTTGTTATCTTTCTATTTGGTCCCTTTAACCTTTAAAGCTAAAGGAATTGAACCCATTGCTTTATCTTTTCTTCTCAAAAGAATTTGAAGTACAATTCTGTTCAAGAAAAAAGCCAGAGTAACCTTCAGTGGCAGAATCTTCCCCCATCTTCACCAGGTGAAAGCTTCCAAGGCTACATCTTTCTGATACACTGTACATCTGATATTACAGCCTAACAGAAGGGAGAGTGATGGCAAAAGAAAAAGAAACAGAAACTAATCAAAATAAACCAAAGCTCAGTTTGCAAGCTTCGGTCGAAACGCCATCTTTGGCAAAATGATAAAACAATCCTAATACCATCTTTGTCGCTGGTTGGTACTTCATATCTTAAATAGGCGACCACCATAATATGAGTCCTCAAGATTGGAAGCAATCAGATTCAGTTAACAAGAAAGGTGCTGGTTTCCATGTTTTCCAAGTTAAAAGCTTCAAATGCAGAAGAAAATAAGCTACCSATTTCTCTTCCTAAACTCGTTTTCCAATTGCGGGCAGTCGAAGGAAACGCCCCAGAGATCAGAACAAAATTGAATATAAATACAACGTATAAAGAACAGAGACTGTTTGGTAATGGACAGAGAGTAAAGAACAAAAGAATTGTGATGAGCTGACATTAAAAAGAACATGAACAATTTAGGAGCTTCTTAATAAACCAATAAGAACACTTGACTGACTAGACCCAAAAGAAAAAACTTCCTACCTTACAGATCTAGTTCATCTTGCAAGAATACTTCATTATGACAGAATAGTAATAATAATAGTAACAATGTGTACTATAAACAACATAAATTCTGCTCTCCTACTTGGTTAACAATAAATAGTTATTTGCCTACTTCTCACTGGAAGTGTAATTCCTGTAAGAATACCTGCTGTAAATCAAAACTTCTGAAGAAGCTTTCAGTTGGGCTCTTCACTACATACTAACCAACCTATGTATGCACTATGTTATTGTAGTACTTGTGCTACCCAACTGTTGATAGAGCATGTAATGGATTGGAGTCCCGCGAAAACGCAGCTATCAACTGTTCCTTCGTCAGTTGCTCGGATCCTGGAGATTTGATGATAAATGTGTGCAAAACTGTGTCATTTTCTTCAGAAAGTTTTGAATCAACAACATTGATCTGAGCATCTTTCATTGCCTTGATAACTCTTGATGCAGGGTGTGATTCCAACGGGCAGCTGACCTTCACGATGACTCCATCATGGGAAGCTTCAACGTCGACGTCGACATCAGGGTATAGATCTTTATTTTCTATTTCTGGGTTCACCTCCGAAGGGGTTGCATCACTTGAGGTGATACCAGATTTCTCGCGTTCGAATTCCATGGCCTTGACTTTTGCTTGAAGCTCATTAATGTAAGCAATGGCATCACCAAGCAGTGAAGCTTTGTCCATCTTGGAGATATTGGGCACGACAGCTCGTAAAGCATAGAACCGCTGGTTCAACTTCTCACGGCGCTGTCTCTCCGCCTCCACGTGATTTAGTGGCTCCTCCCTACCATTGGCAGGCTTTCTGCCTCGCTTGCGTGGTCGTCTTTCATCAGTGCCAAGCCCCTCTTCTTTGCATTGAGGCTCTACGTCTGAATGCTCCGAATCTCCACCTACACGGGTGACCACAGAAGGCCTTGATGTTGCCACAGAAAAATCAATTTGCATCTGGACCAGCTTCTGTGATTGATACGGATTACGACAAAAATCATCTCTGACTCCATTGACGAGCTGCTGCTCGTGATTATTATTTGCTGGTGGAGTTGGAGAACCATAAATTTCTGTCGGATTCCCCTGTTTGAGACTATGAACATGTGCTAAACTCGGGCTGTGAATGCCATTTCGGGGGCTTTGAAACTGAATTCTACCTCCATTAGCACAAGCTTCCCATGACCTCTCATCCATCTTCCTAATCGCCAGTTTCTCTCTGAAATGAGATCTACCCATGCTCCCCAAGTTCAAACTCTGCCCAAAAACCTTAGGAATCCCCCCTTCTGCTCTTTCTGCAATCCCTGGACTCACAAACGGGGTGTTTTCATCTTTTCTTTCAGCCATCATCGACATCGGAGCAGATGACCTCACTCTATCAAGAGAATTTTGAGATGAAAACAATGATCTAATGAACTGCACTAATTCTAAGCTCTCACTCACGGATCTCACAGAACCCAATTCAACTACTCCAACATCAGTTGGTACCAGAACAACCGTCCGAATTCCTGCAGATTTAGCGAGATACGATCTCACGCAATACTCAGCCGGCGAATTGAGCACATCCAAAAGCCAGATATGTTTCCCAGACGCAAGACACTTTCCAGGGCCCCCCTCTCCACGAGGGAAGGAGAAATACATGGAAGCAAGAAAAAACATTTCAGTGTCAGTAACCCTGTCCAATCCAAGAGCATAATTATCCTCATCAGAGCCTCCAAACAGCATGTGAAGCTTCTGCAGAGCCCTTTTCTTCATCCTCTGCTGGCTGTCGTCTTCGAGCCGAAGACTAAGAATTTGCGTAGCCTCTGTTTCCTCTCCATCCCTGGGGTCCCTACACGATCCATCCCCCCATCCCAAAACCCATTCACCAGATTTTGAATGGGAAAGTTGCCAGAAAATTGCATAGTTCCAGCTGAAATTGGAGGCGTTAGGCCTTTCCACCAGATCCGAGAGCTTGTTCTGCAAATTCTCATCATTCCTCACAGCCATAAACAGATTCTCGTTCGAAACAGAGCAAGACATCAAGTAATTAAAAGCTCGAGTCCCCAGAACGGCAGCAACCACTGTCTTATCCTCATCCTTCCCACCCACACTCCGCAACCCGTTCTCAATCTTCATCTCTAAACCCCCAAAACTAAGAATAGAAACACACCCACAACACACAGGCTTCTAAATTGCAAAACCCAGATCAAATCTCAGTCAGAAAAGCTTGAGAACTCCTCAAACCATTATCAGATACCCACACAAGATTATCCCTCTATCAACAACACCGTCGCCAGAACATTCTCTAGATCCCACAGATTAAAAAACAAAACAAAAAAATCTAACAAAACCCCACGAAAACAGATACGAATCCCAAAATCAATCACCCAAAAACCCAGGAAATATAAGAGAGATAGAGAACCGACCGGTACTGGGCATGCGAAATGTGCTGAAAAGAAGATGGCAAGATAAGGGAAGAGTCTCGGAGGGCTATAAACATTCCCAGGAAAGCGACAGCCTCAATTGAGGAAAAGATTTTTCTTTCTTGGAAAACAAACAAGCAGTTATTTCACGCGACAAATAACGAAACCAATATAAGCAGAATCCCCACTTTCCTTTCCTTTCCTTTCGTTTCTCTGTTTTCCAGGACGGATGAAGTGGAGAAAATGAAAATGCAAAACGAAGAAGAAACTCAAATACAGAGAGCGGAGGTGAAATGGGTTTTCCTTTTTCTCTTTTACCTTTTTTTTTTTCTTTTTCCTCTGCCGCTCTTCGTCTTCCCCTAAATCCCAATCCCACAAACCGCACGAGAAAATATCATAACCGTGGTTAAGTAAAATCCAAACACGAGGGTCAAATATTAACCCTAGTTAAAGCCGCGGATTGGATATATTTGGTTGGGAGTTTGAGAAGTAGTCGGCAATTAAGTTGTGGGCGTTTGTTGGACAGCGGCACCTGAGATTTCCAAATTTTTCATTGAAAAATCGTTAAACAAAAAAAAAATAATAAAATTCATTTTTTTATTTATATAAATTTCTGAATTCTTCTTCTTAAATCTTATCGTCTGTTTTTTTTTCTCAGAAATTGAGAAAAAAATCGTCTCGTGAGCCTCATGCTTAATAGTCGCTCGCAATTACTCGCAAACCATGCACAACATGTGACCTTTATAATTTCTCACCCTAATGTTTTGCTATTTACACTTTCGCCCCCTTCTTTCCCCGTAATAATGATTTCTCCTTCCATTTATAAGGAAATTATCGTCAAAGCGCGTTTTCAATATTTTTTTACATTATTATTAATTATAGCAACCACAATTACTCGCTTTTTATTTTTTAATTTTAAGATAATATCTTTTTATTGACGAAACTGATATTATCAATTACAACAAATTCCTAAATTATGATGTTTCGAAAGTATCCAAAAAAAAAAAACATGTTGTTTCAAACTGGTTGGTGCTTTTAAAATAAAACCAACAAATGAATTTTACATTATGAGAAAATTCTGTCATTTTTTTAAGTTAGGTTTCCACAACTTGACGTGTCCGAAACACGTTTTGCATGGCCAAAATATTTTTCACTCAAAATTATCATTATTTTTAAGAACATCATAAAAGTATTTTATGATTAAAAGAAGTCAAAAATATCGTGCCATAAGATATTTTTATACCTAGTATCTTAGACTCTCTAAGTACTTGACTATCTAAATTTTTTCAAAAATATTTTAAAGAGTGCAAGACCAAGTGATTTTTTTTAAAGTTAATTAACGACTTTACAAAAATATGGAGTTAGAATTTAAACCTTTTGACTTATAATAAATTATATCCATATTTTAACTATTGGGATACTTTCCGTTGACGCATTGAACACCAAAGTACTTTTACTAAAACAACTTATAAATACACATTTTTATATACGTAATTTACAATAAAAATTATAATACGAAACAGTACATATTTCTTCTCTCCATACTATAAATTTTATATGAGTTGTTCTTAATAAAGTTTATAGTGGGACCCATCAAATGAAGAGGAGATTAAGGAATGAGGAGAGAGAAAAAAAACAAAACAAAAAGGTTGGAAAGTGAGATTAGGTTAAAGAGAAAATGGGATTAAGGTTTCCTAAATCCGACAGCGATGTATTGAGAGTGATAAAGAAAGGCAAGGGAGAGTGTGTAAAGAAAACAAAGAAGAGGAAAATATATATATATATATATATATATATATATAAATTTGGTGGGTTTGAGGTTTTCTTTTAATAAAACTTAAGGAAGATAGGTGTCTGAAAAAGCATGAAAATTGGTCACAAATGTTTCTAATGAGCGGCATCCAAGTGGTTTGCCCTTTTAAATTGAGTAGAATCTAAGGTAAACTTCGAAAGCGATTCCTCATCGAACTTCATCTCAATGATTTTCTCTCTTTTCTTCTTCTTTCCGACTCGTTTATTTTATGTCAAATTTATAAATTCAATCTCTCGACTTAAAAATTTATATGTTTAATATAAACATACTTCGATGTTAAGTTAGATTTAAGTTTGAGTTAAGTATGGCAAGAATTAGGACATTATCATAACTTTTTCTTTTTTATTTATAGAAGTGAAACTTCGTGCCTTCTCTGTTTTTAATTCTTGAAATCACTGCGATTTAAGTTGGAAGGTCATATAAACCTTTTAAAAGTTTATGAAAATGAGTCCACTTTTATTGCATAATCATATATAAAATTATTTTTCACAATTTTTTAATTTGAGATATATGATAATTTCCAATTAGGTTAGTTTTGGCATATAACATTAACAATTAATTGATAGGTGCATTGGGAAAATAAATGTGCGGAAAAAGGAACTGGTGATGAGTGATTGGAGACGTGTTCAAATATTATTGGAAGAGAAGGTATAAAAAAAGTCAAATGCACTGAGGGGCAACCGTGTAAATATACACTAGTGCCGTATAAAATAAGGGATCAGTTTTTCCTAAAAAGAGAAAAAAGTAGTTTCAAAATTATTTCGTTTTTATTTTTTAAATTGTTTATTACAACAAATTTCTCCCAGATGCTTTTAAAATAAATTACTTTTTTTTACCTCAAATTTTAAACCTTTTTTCATGTGATGACTATTTCATTTTTAATTTTTAATTTTTTTTAATTATACTTGTTTGCTTACCGTTTTTAATATATTTGTATGTGTTTGTTTTAACAACACATTTAAATTTGTAGTTAAATTATAAAATTAAGAATTGTTTTTAATTATACAAAATTTGCTTAGGTTTTACCAATATTTTTAAATATAACAAAACAAATAATATACAGGTGAAAGTAGTGTTTTTAAGCTTCTTAAAATATAAAGTAGAAAATAAAATAGTTATAGAATAGAACTTTAGATATTAACATGATAATATATATTTATCAATTTTAAGTGATGTGACACAATTTAAAACTAAAATTAATTATCTTCCATGTTATATAAGTAGAGGGATGCTAACAACTCAATTGGTCAAATCATTCGTTGAGGACAAATAATTTCAATAACGTTATATGTGCAATGTATGCAAGAAAAATAAAGTTTTAGTATAGCAAAATCTAATGACCTGCACATGTATAATGTAATAAATAATATTCATATAAATTTTAGTGGTTGTCTTATTTATTTAAATAAAAATACATGGGCTAGAACTTAAGATTAATAATTTAATAAACTCGACTTTCTTTGAGTTGAATTATCATTAATAAAATAAATTTTATAATTTCGAAGTGATTTGATTGATACTGATTATAGAAGTATTCGATAAAACAATTTAAAGTTGTGAAATACTTAGCAGAGAGTAGGAAGAATGGTTTGTTTAAATGCAAAATAGTTATATAAAAATTTGAAGATTTAAAAAAAAATTTAGAATTAAAAAATTATTTGTATGAAAAAAGTGCTCCGTTGTTGATTAGATTATTATATTAGTTATAACAATTTAATAAATGAGATGAAAATGGCCCTTTATATTTATAATAACTTCAAACTGAACAGTACAATAAAAATTTAGCAGTTGGATATTTTGGTCTCATCGCAAGTTTGAATTGTTCCTATTTCACTACCAACGAAGTAGTTAAAAGAATTAAATTTTATTAGAAAACAATATATTGTTTTTATTTATTTATTTTTTTAAAAAAGCAACGAACAAAACTGATCTGATTTATATTACCTGATGTGGTGAAAGATGATTTGATTGATTGCTTGATTTAAAAATTAAAAGGGGTAAAAAAAAGAATTAGATTCCTCCTTTGACTTAAGTCGTAAGTCGCAAAATGAGAGAATGGAGTCGGATACAACTTTAATCATGATTAATCAATCGATTGACAACACAAAAGTTTGAAAATAAATCCAATTCTAATATGAGATTGATATAAAACGAGTAAAGGGGTGAATTCAAATTAACGATTTTTTAATTGGAGATAGATRTCAATTACTGTTAAGTTACGTTTATATGCGATACGTCACGGCGCTGTCCTGACTGGTGTGTGGGCGTTGTTTTCCATCCTTAGTGCCATGGTGTCAGGAACAGCGTCATGGCGTTGTTTCGATGTTTATAAATATGGAGCCTTGGGTTTTAGGGTCTTACTAACCGAACAAGGGGTTATTTGCAATCGTTTTGGAGTTGATTTTGGCAGCAAATCAGTRGCAGCGGCTCGGACATTGGTAGAAGCTTTGGGGTTGACCAAGATCAATATTATCGAGTAATTGTAGATTGATCATGTGAGTTTTTCATACATGTTCCTAAGTATTAATTGTGTAAAATACTTCAAAGCTAGGGGGGGTTTTGTTGAGATCTCTAGGGGATGTTTTGGAGGGTGTTATTGTATACAACCTAAACAATATTAGTGAATTATCCACGTCTGAGTAGAAGACTGGACGAAGTCCTTAGTGGTGAACCATTATAATTTGCTATGTCGTTTACTATTTCTCTTCCTATTTGCATATTATTGATTGTGTTGGATGTTTTATGTGAAAGGAAAAATTATTCAGGTCAATCAATTTTCCAACAATATAAGACGTATTTAATTATTAAAATATCTTTTGAGCATGGGAACGTAAGTATATAGTTTACTGTCGAAGAAYGAAGACAGAGAAATATTAGTTGAATTTCGTACAAATGAAAAATAAATTATAATTTCGAGTATTTTTCTGCCCACCGACATTTTGTACCACTACCATGTACCATCACTGATCACACAATTCACAAGACTCGACGACCAGTAAACGATACCGTTTCTCTCTCCTCTGTCCTCACAATTCAGAAGAGAAAATATAGACCAAGAGTATTTATTTATTTAGTTGYTACTGTGTTTAATTTTGTTTTCTAGCTTTAAATCTGATAAAAATTTATTTTTAATTTCATGTCTTTCAAAATTTACAGATATATTACACGATTCTGTAAATTAAATGAAAAAATTTATAATTTAATTTATATTTTATAATACGAAAGTATATTTATTAAATTAACGTAATACCATTAATATTATAAGTTTTATAGCTAAACTTTTCAGTCAATTTATTATTATTATAACTAATATTGAAGATTCCATCTTATAMTTTGAAAATCGATAAACTAAATTAATAGAATGGTGGATAAAATATAAATTATAGACAATATATTAAGCTTTTAAAATTAAAATATATTAAAATTATTTTAAGAAATTATTCAAATTATAATTGAATTATAATTATAATTGATATATATCTCAACTGAAACAAACTTAATTACCAATCAAAACAGTGAAAAAAAACGAACAGAAATGCCTTTTTTTTTCGTAAATAAATAATGATTTAAATTTAGGAAAAAGATAAAAAGAAAAAGCTTATTTTGTAATGTAGGGTTTAAAACATGTCGCGCGTCGTGGACCACGCCAGTGTAAAGCGAAAACGTTCTCCTACAGGTGAGAGGAGCGTGTACGTCACGG